GGCCTGCTTTCTGATCCAGATCCTGTCGGCCTGCTCTCTGTGATGCTCGTCTCCTCCCCACCTGGATGGAGGCAGCTCCTGGCCACAGAGCGGTTCATTAGCAGAAAGTGGAGGCCGCTATCTTCCTACTCCTCCTCCTCCTCCTCCTCCTCTAATTGTGCATGTCTGCTGCCCTTCGGGGCCTCATCTGACATGAAGATCCCAGCAGAGACACCCTGAGCTGAGCTGTGGTGCTGAGGCTCAGCCGGGCATGAAGTAAACTCAGAGGGCAGCTTGTTGCTGTGTGTGGGCAGTAAAACCTGCAGCCACGTGCCTCCAACTCTGCCCTCGGGTTTTACTTCCTGGTTCTGAAGCTGTCTTTCTTCCATCCGACTGCCTAAAATGACAGAAATGGCTCCACATAATGAGCTTGTTCTGGATAGAACATCAACATCTGAGCCTCTGATCCAAACCAAAGTCCAGAGAACTAAGATTTTTGCTGGTTTTCCTCCAGAATGAGGTTTCATTTCATGGAAATTAGCTCTGTTCCAGCATCCAGAAATGAAGGAAACTTTGTGCTGATGTTCTGAAACCAGTCGACTAAAAGCTGGAACTCAGAGCTGTGGATCATTTTAGACTTCCTGCTTTAGAAAAGCACCTAAATGATCTTCCTCCTCAGTGATGTTTCAGATGGAGGGAATTAAATGGATGTTTCATTTGAACTATTTAAAAGCTGGTAAACGAACTCACAGCGAGCCTCAAACATGTCGTCTTTTGGCCTTTAGCTCATGCAAACACGCCTTTATTCCGCAGAATGATGGTTTGGGACTTTCTGAGCAGATGGGGGAAGAAGAAACTGGTCTTTGAGTCATGCTTCCCTTCCCTTTCTTTGCATCGGTCCATCCTACAGCCCCCCCCCGCCCCTCTGTCTCCAAACCTCAGCAGCCTAATGGGAGCCAGCTGTGTGTGTGTGTCTGAGTGTGTTAGCTCCTCTGAGCTAGCTGCTAACATGCTAACCCTGTTAAAGCATAAAAAGGAGGCGGCCGGCTGCTTCTCTTCCCACCTTTACCCGCCAGAGTCCAGCCCACCCTGCTCTCCGTGCAGCTTCCTAGCCGGACTCCCACATATTTTTCAGGCTAAATAAAATTCCTGTGATTCC